ACCCCGCGGTCATTACCTGGTTTGTAAACTTGGCACAGGAGGGCCCAGAGAGTCGTTTCTGCCTGAGTCCAAGCTGTGTGCCTAGATTCCGGCTTTAGATGTTCAGCTAGGAGGAAAACTGAGAGCCTTGGTGTTGTGGGAGTGGGGGATGGGGTATCTGTAAAATCACATGTAAAATGTAAGCAAACAAACAAGTGAAAACAATAAGAAAAAAAGAGTGATTACAAAATTGCACCAAACTGACCCGAGTTCTCTCATTTTCCCATTTCTTTAGAATTTTCCCAGTTCATTCGACATGCGATCATGTGGTGTTTGCACTTAGGTCAGTTGCCACTGGATGCTATCTGAATATAGTATTGGATAAGACTACAGTTTCTAAATAAGAAAGTACTCCACCATTGTGTAGGGGTTATGTGACTCCACTGGAAATGGAAGACCCAGTAACTCCCTCTGCATTGTTGTTCACCAGCGCCTTTGGAGAGAGGCAGCCCAGAATCTCACAGGCCTAGAATAATCCTTTAACTCTCCAGGGCCAAATCACCTGTCTTTGGAAGGATGTGATGTCTATGATGAGCCCAGTTCAGACTGAAAAATCTTTGAGCTTGAGTCTCGGTGACTTACTGTTTCTAAGACTTTGAGTACGGGATCTCTCTGCCTCATCATTGGTAATCATGGGACCCATCATTATGGTTGCCATATAAATGAGCTGGTAGAAGTAAACCCACAGTTAAACGTTCAGGAGTGAGAGAGCTGTTTCTAACACTAGTTCTGTTTTTAGTTTTGTGAGTCTCCACCATACTAATTTGCCATGTCCAGGAGCAACAAGAAAGGTTCCTCTTTCTCGGCATCTTTGTTGTTTTGTTGACGTCACTCTTTCTCACTGGAGTGAGATGAAATCTCAAAATAGTTTAAGTTTGCATTTTCTTAGTGGCTAAGTTTCACATCCTTATTTATTGCTGTGTTATTTACAACAGCTAAGAAATAGAATCAGCCTAGATGTCCATTACTGGATAAAATGATTAAAAAAATGTAATGTATACACACAGGAGACTATATTCAACTCTAAAGAAAGACTAAAATCATGGCATTTGCAGAAAGATGGATTGAACTGGGAAGCATTACCTTAAGGTAAATGAGCTAGACTCAGAAATACAAACACTACAGATTTTTTTCTGATTTTCTTTCTTTTTTTTTTTGATCTGTTTATTATACATACAGTGTTCTGCCAGCATGTATGCCTACATGCCAGAAGAGAGCACCAGATCTCATTATAGATGGTTGTGGGCCATCATGTGGTTGCTGGGAATTTAAGACCTCTGGAAGAACAGCCAGTGCTCCTTAACCTCTGAGCCATCTCTCCAACCCCCAGACTCTGATTTTCAATTTGTATATAAGTATTATGGGAGTGCTGGGGAGATCATGGAACTACAAGGGGGACCATATGAGGGGAAGAAGTGATGTTATTAAGGGATGGTAGTGAAAAAAAAGGATAATATAATGCATGTGGTATGAGGAGATACTGGAAAAAAGGAAGTGGGCAGCAGGGGAGAAGAGTGAAGAGAGAGAACCAATAAGAAAGTATGCATAAAATGGTCATGACCCAAGCTGTACTTTGTAGGCTAACTTGAATAACTAATAAAAATAAAGAAGCAAATCATTAGCCAGTGGCAGCCAAGTAGGAATCTATTGTCACCAGTGTTGTTTCCTGATGTTGGGTTAAGGAACTTAGGTGATCACGCCATCAGGCACTTATTTATGGTCCTGATACGGGTCCCTGACTTCTCTGTGCATCTTCACAACACTGGGATGCACATTGCCAGCATTTCCCTAACCACAGTCACAGCCAGGATCCAGTCAGGAACTGTTGCTCTTTCCTTTCATCTTCTCTCTCTGGATTTTTCTACTACTCTGGAAATCATGCCCCTCCCCAACTATAGTGGTACTCCACACAGTGATCTAGTCTTTTAATTTGGCTCAGGAATTAGAATGGAGAGAATATTGGTTGGTTGGTATAGAGACACTAACATAATTGGCCTTTTTCACAGTCACCTCTATTCTGTGGTAGGAGAGGACAGGTTAGTTGGGACTAAAGAACATGGCGGGAGGCCAAGTTGGGCACAATGGTGGTTATGGGCGTGCCCACACTGAAAATTAGTGATCTAATGGAAACAATAACATCTTCCTTGTTTGTTGCTGGATAGGCTATGTTGCAGTAACAACCTCAACACTGTAGAGGCTGAAAGCTTAAGTGTTTATTTCTTGCTTGCACTCTGTGCCTCTGGCAGGTTGGTACATCTTCATTTAGGGATGCAAAGTGACAGAGATGAATGTAGAATGCTGCTGCTCCCTCTGGCACTGGAAAGGGAAGGACTAGGGAACATTCATATAATGGTTCGTGTTTCATGGGCCCACACGAGTTATATGGCCATGCCCAAATTTAAGACACAATTTCTCCTCTGCTCTTCCCCAAGGGCACAGTCTGCTTCCTCCCTCTACCAGTTCTGTGATTTCCTTTGGCTGACGCAGAATGGATGGAAGTGAAGATTGCTGCCCCCAAGTTGAGGCATCTCAGGCATTTACTTTTCCTTTTGCTCACCTATCACTAGTAAAGGAAAGGCAAAACCTTTAAAAGCTGTTCCTTCTGTATTCAGAGTTCTGACTGGGGAAATAGAAGATGCTTGACCCAAAGCCCAGCAGAGCCAGCAAAATCACAAACCTGTGAGCAAGGAATGTTTGCTGTTCAAAGACAATAAGGTTTGGTTGGGATTGTTACAAAAGCAACCATAAGCTGACTAATACAGCATCAGACACTCAAAAGGAAAGAAAACAAAACAGAATAATGATGGATAGCTCAAATGACTAATTCATTGTTTGTTTTTACTCCTTTAAGATTTTTAATTGATACACTATTTGTACATTTTTATAGAGTACAATCCAATCCTTTGATACATGCCTTGAGAATACTTTATTTGAAATGTTTCATCTGTGTTTAATCCAGACCATTACATGAATATATAAGTATGAAGTACAAGAAAGCAAATGGGGAATGTGCTAATTTTATAAGGTTGCTGCTCAAGAGTTTACAATGCCCCTGTTGTGGAGCTGAAAAAGGAGTATGTGGTTTGTACTGTTCTAGTTTAAAATTAACAAAGGATGCAAAACTGCATTGCATGTCAAGGTTGGGGAGACGGCTCAGTGCTAGCTGTGCAAGCATAAGGAACTGTACTCAGATCTCCAGCACACACATAAAATGCTGTGCATGGCAGCACATGTCTATAGCCCTAGCACTTGAGCATTGTTCTGAGATGAGTAGATCCCAGAAGCTCTCTGGCTAACTAGTCTAGCTGAATCAGGGAACTCCAGATTCAATGAGAGTTGAATTCCTGTTTCAAAGAATAAGATGGAGAATAACTAACAGAGATGCTCATCACTGATCTTTGACTTCTACACACATGTACACACACACACACACACACACATACACACACACATATGCATATATGTATACGTACACAAACACGTGTGTAGTGGGTAGTTGTTTTAGCTATGACCTTGAAGCACCACCCCTAGTGAGGTAATAGCTAACTGTTACACCTGCCTATGACCTTGAAGTACATGCCCCTGGGGTGTAGCCATTCAGGATTCCCTAAGTCCTGGGATGCATGCAAACAGCTCTCTCTTTGCCTTCTTGTGGTATTGGATGCTGAGATCTTGGAGCAGGCAAATCAGTGTGGGACATATAGCTCAGCTTTTCCGGACCTTACGATAAATCTCCCATGGTACTGAGTTAACCCCCAAATAAATTCCTTTGCTCATTAAATAGACTTTGTGGATTTCTTGAATTACATGTGTGCACATATACACACCTAAATAAATAAAAAAAGATTGAGCCTTGATTGGATTGTAGTTAAAAAGTGAACCACAAAAGCACTGGATGCTCAACCCGGGAAACGAGAGTATGTCCTCTCTTTTAGGTGATCTCAGGTTGTTTTTTATTGTTTTAATATTTCTAGATGTGATAAGGTACTAAATCAGTATCAGAAATTATTCTTAGTTGAAGAAATATGCTGACAGATTATTGCTAGATTTTATGAGATCTAACCCAATTTCTATCATATAGCAATAAATTTATACAGAGACCTAAGCATGTACATAATATTTGCAAATAAGGAAAGCATTAACATTTCTTTTTGTTTCCTATGTGATAGGTATATGAATGTCCATTATTTTATTTCACATTTAAGCTTAAAGTTTTTCATAGAAGAATAAAACTTTGGAAAGAAAATGAAGACATTGTGTAGGGTACGGGACAGTGTGTCTATAAAACTCAAACCTGTGTTCAATTGCCATCCTAATCCAGAAGCCCAGTGAGGTGAACATGGTTACAATTTGCTGGCTTTCCCCTCTTCTGAGTCTGAATGGTGCTTCTGACCTTCCGCCACCTTCATTGTACCAAGAACCACCCATTGATTTAGAGAAAGATCAATACTCACTCTTTACTTGACTTGTTGCCCACCTAGAGAAAATGTTCCTTATTGGATAAAGTCACTTCTCAATTGTAGAGACAAGCATCTATAATAAATATATTTGTTGAACTTGGTGTGGTATTATTTTTCCTATACACCTACATCTTCTGTCTTAAGAGGTAAATGGATTTCTCCTTTTCCCTAAGGTGATTTTCATCCTTGCTCTATCTTTACTTTTATCTCTTCTTAATGCCTCTGAGACCTTACTCTGATCTCTGGGCTTTAGTTTTGCTTTAGTTCAGCCTTCATATTAGTACACATACTGTCTGTCTAAGATGTACACACACACACACACACACACACACACACACACACACACACACACACACACACTGTCTCACACATACCTGCCACCACAGTATAAAAACTAACTATTTTTAATACCCACCCAGCTCCCAATATGTGCTGGCCTCCTCTATTCCTCCTCTGATAGCTAGATTTCTATTAACTACAGTCTCCATAAGCCAGGACCATTTCCCTGGCACGCATTCATTGTTCCCATTCCTCTGCGAAGTAGCTCTCATTAAGGTCAGAAAAAAGCAATAGTAAAATCCAGTTTTCCATTTGTTTTGTTCATCTATCTTTCTCTCTTCTGCAACTTTTAAAAGACGTATCCTGGACACACTGTGGGGGAAAGCATAAGAATGGCCCCTGTAGGCTCATATATTCAAATGCTCAGTCATCAGGGAGTGGCACTACTTGAGAAGGATTAGGAGGGCTTGTTGGAAGAAGTATGTCACTGGGGGTGGGGTCTGAGGTTTCAAAAGCATGATCCAGGCCCTGTGGCTCTCTCTTCCTGTTGCTTGCAGATCTGGATACAGAACTCTCAGCTACTTCTCCAGCACCGTGTCTGCCTGCATGCCATCATGCTCTCAGCCATGGTGATAATGGATTAAACCCCTGAAACTGTAAACCAGCTCCAATTAAATGTGTTCTTCTGCATGAGTTGTCATGGTCATGGTGTCTCTTACAACAATAGAACACTGATGAAGACACTCCCAGCCCCCATTTTTTACTATTTTCTCCTGGTAGCGTCCAGAGACATAATTTCAGTCTTACTACTATTTGTGACTATAGACGATCTAGAAGTGCAGGTCTCTTAAGGCAGAACTAGTCAGTTTCTTGGCTTTGCCGGACCTTTTACTGCCAGTCTTGAGGCTGCAGTAGTTCTGTTAATGTAGGCTCTTGCTTTTGTCTGGCAGCCTCAGTTTCCCTCCTTCATTTTCAACCCTTTGTGTGGTATGATTTTCTGTCTTCTCAATTTTGTTGTCTGATGACATTATCAACCAAGTTCCTTACATTTGGGGTATTTCCTCAGCTTTGACTTGAATTCCTTCGTTTCTCTTATATAATCTTATATAACCGTGCATTCCAAGACCCTCAGTAAATGTTCGATATCACACACAACAAATAATTATATTTTGTCCTGTTTCTACAACCAGCGAGGTGAAGTTTAATTTATAAACTTAGTATAATAAGAGATTACCAACAACCACCAATGATAAAATAGAATAATGAAAACGACAACTGTGTGGTCCAAAGAATGAGCTGTGATAAATACATTTTCAGTTTTGATTGAGTGAGTTTATGAAGTACATAGCAAGTCAAAATAAAACAAAACAAAAGACAACAGTGAGGGGGCAAAGCATCCTCAAATGGGAGGTCAAGACACAGCAGAGATAGGCTGGGGAAGCCCCTTTGGGACAGTCATTTGAAGCTTCCAATAGAGAGAGTCCTGGGCGCAGCAGACCTTGGGTGAGGTTTCCAAATGGAAGAACACACAGCAACAGTTAGAGAAAACAAAATGGATGCTTCCAACACCCAGCAGAAACCAACCCAGGAAGTTAAAGCAGCAAACTTTCTCTCCGTGGTTGGATGTCCTGCTTCCCTTCCATACTGGAGGCCCTTACATGTCATGGATAAAAAAATCTGTTGGAAATATTTGACCTAGTTGTTTTTAAGAGCACAATATTTTTATTCTTGGGCTGTTTTGCCACTGAGTTGGGTGGCAAGACTAGATCTTCTCAGATGAGAAACCCCAAGAGGATGTTTTGAGACAAGCATGCTGGGGTCTAAAGGGGCCAGAGAAAACCCCCACTTCCAGAGCCAGCCTCTCAGGGAGTTCAAACAATGCATGCCAGTTTACAAACGTAATGTACACTACAGCTGCTAAGACAGTGTTGGGTAATAAAAGTTGATGTGAGAGCAGCCTCTCTATTGAGACACCGGATTGTGCGGAACCCACCCTTCCTGGGTTGCCGTTGAACTCACAGAAAGTCAACCACCAGTAGCAACAGGGCGTGTGTGCACTGGCCTGGTTTTGTCCCTTAGACTGTAAACTGCTTAGCAATACAGGAAATGAAAGAAGAGGATTTGACTCTCATGAACTTCCCTGTATCTAAAATATCTCTGGCTGAGACCTAAAGTAGTCAGAGAAACGCTGCTGAGGCTTGTTGGAGAATGGAAACCGAAAGCAAGTGTTGGTTGGGTGGAGCCTCAAAATGTCATAATTATTATGCTCCCTATCAACAGTGCTCGGGACTCAGCTGCACAGCCAAGGCTAGCCAAGTTTCTAAGTGAAAGGAACCAGCCATGCTTTCCACTTTCCACCTCTCAAGACCTGACTTTCATGTCCTACCACTAATAGTGAAAAACTTCGTGAGGCAGAAGTTTTAAACTATCAGGACATAACACTAATCCCTGAATTGAGGATTTAGGCTGCTTGTAGAGAGAGAATCCAGTGAGGTAAGCCTTGTCAGAAGTTTTCTAGAAAAGCTTTAGGACTGTATTTGCTAATCAGCAAATTAAGAGGAAGCGGGAGTTGTAGGTTTCTGGGGTTGGAAAGAAGGATTAGTATTGACTATATTCCAGAAAAGAATAAAGCCACAGGAAGCCTGGTTCTAAACCTTCACTTGACTGAGGAATGGAAGTTATCTTTTATTTCACCACAGCTGAGATCTTAACAAAAGAAAATGCATTTGGCAGTGGCAGGAATTAGAATATATTGTTCAGAGGGTTGACCCAGACTGAGCCTAAAAGGAATTCTGATTTTCTGGGTGTGTTGGTCTGTAGGTGTCCTATTGACATGAATTTATATTTAGAAGAGGTCTTTTGATTTCTAGCTGAAGGAGAAAGAAACATAGGAGCTGGAGAGCTATTCCTAGATAAAAGATAAGAACAATGATATGACAGAATGCCTATGATGTAACATTAGCTTGAAAGCGTCAGGGCACCACTCTCTATTGTAAGTAACCTTAGCATTTAAGAAATGCCAAGCAGATCATATATTATTTCATAACCTCAGATGCTCAAGTGACATGGCATTTATTATTATTTTTTTAATTGTGTATGCTTTTTAATCTCTATTTCTTTTAGTTTATTAGGTACTAGAAAAATTATCTCAGTCCGCTTAAAATTGGATCCCACTTTTCCCTTTCCATAGTTCAATTCCTAGAATTTAGGGGAGAGATGATTCCTATAACTGTTGTGGTTTGATTATATACCAGCTGGTGGTTTGGGAAGGTTCTGGGTCTTTTAGGAGGTGGAACGTACTGGGAAAAAAATGTACTTATTGGAGGAAGTGTGTCACTGGGGCAGGCTGTGAGAGGTGTCTCACTTCTTCCTTTGTTTTCTGTATGAGCAAGAATTGAAATTGGCCAGCTTCCGGTTGGCTTTGCCGCCACCCCACCTTCCCTGCTCGCTGCTGTGTTTTCCCTGTGGTGATGAAATCTACTCTTCTGGAACTGTAAGTCAAAATAAAAACCTCTTCTCCCCTGAGTTGCTTTTGTTTATTACATTTTTTTTTTTTTTTTGGTTTTTCAAGACAGGGTTTCTCTGTGTAGCTTTGCGCCTTTCCTGGGACTCACTTGGTAGCCCAGGCTGGCCTCGAACTCACGGCGATCCGCCTGGCTCTGCCTCCCGAGTGCTGGGATTAAAGGCGTGCGCCACCACTGCCCGGCTTGTTTATTACATTTTCATTACAACTGAAAAGAAACAATTCACTGGTAACCTTTGTGGACTTCTTGAAAACGTGACAAGTATTTCTAAGTATCTATCGGGATGTAGTTAATTATGTTGCTCAACTTTTCTACTTTTTTTGCTTTTTTTTTTGGCTATTTGAAACTTTAATTATTGAAGGAAGTGTTTTGTAATAGTTAATTATGTTGCTCAACTTTTCTACTTTTTTTGGCTGTTTGAAAGTTTAGTTATTGAAGGAAGGGTTTTGTAATTTCTGACTATCATGGTACGTTTATCATTTGTTCATGGAGAACTGTCCAAGAGCTGTTGACTTTATTCAACGAGGTGCATTTATGCTTAGAATTTTTATATCGCCTTGGTGACTTTAACGTTTAATCATTGTAGAGCAACTCTGTCCTTAATGGCACTATTTGTCTTATAGTCTTCTCTGACAAGTATTAATATAACTGTTCTAACTGGGTTTTTTGTGCTTAGTGTCTGACTGATACATACGTTCACATCCCTTGCTTTTCAGTTATTCAGTATTGTCATACCCTCAGTGTGTCTTTTGTAAACACTGTAAGGACTACAGTGGGTTTAAATCCAGTTTAACATCCTTTCTAAAGCCAAGAGTCTAGTTAACGTGTATTCTGTCAGTTGAAATATTTGAATTTTGTGGAACCATCTTATATCTCTCCATATGATATTTCCTGCCCATGTTTGTTTTCCTCTTTTTAAAAATATGCTTCAGATTATTTCTTCTTTTAAAAATAATTTATTTAACTTTTATTTTATGTGCATTGGCATGAAGATGTCAGATCCTAGGGAACTAGAGTTACAGACAGTTGTGAGCTGCCATGTGGGTGCTGGGAATTGAACCCGGGTCCTCTGGAAGAGCAGCCAGTGCTCTTAGCCTCTGAGCCATCTCTCCAGCCCTCTTAAGATTATTCCTTATGCAGAATGATGTATACTACGTTAGTCATGTTTTCATAAGTCCCATGTTATGAATTTTGTGGGAACAAGTCATTTTTTATTAGCCAAGAATAATGCTTGTTGTTGTAGTTTTTGGTCAAATCATGTAAGATCAAGTTTACTGCTTCAGTGAAGTGAACTTGCATGCAGTTAGCTTAAGTGAACAATCCAGTGCTATTTAATACGGGGACAATATTGTGTACCTTCCCCTGAATCTAGAAATACTCCTTCTATTTTTCTCCATAATTTATGTGACTTAAATGTTACCTTCTCAAAGAGACATAGTCTGATCACCTAATTTCAGTCACACCACATACCCCTAGCCCACATTCTTACTGTGTACCACGTACTATATTTATATTTATACTTGTGGGAATAATAATGAAAAAAAAATCTTTCCTGATTGGTGACTCATTTCCTCAAAGACTTGCCAGATGCCTGCTGGACAGAATGAGCTGACTGAGCTGACATGTGAACATCTGCTATTGATTTACTAGTTTATCCTTTAAGTGCCTATCTTGGGCTTTTTTTTTTTTTTTTTTTTTTTCTAAAGGAGTTTTAGAAGTTTTTACACTATAGGGGTTGGCTGTTTAATCACAGACAAGTTTGCAGGGAACGTAGAGCAGAGTGAAGGTCCTTAAGGGATACTCCCATGAAGTAATTGTATGTTCTGCACAGGGTGTTGGGGGGGGCATCCTGCTGCAGTGGTTCTCAGGGGAGGGCATGTTGGCACTGGCACGGTTCTGTGTGGTTTATAGAGCTCTCTCTGTCAAGCTATTTATTAAATCCTCACAATACCATCTCCTATTATCTGTATTTAACTGATGGGGAATTAACCCCATCAGATAAGTAAAGTCAGGCAGTAGCAGAGCACACTACACTCCTGGCTTGGTACCACATTTTTTTTTTCCTGGAGTGCTTTTCTAAATTAAATCTGGACACCCACCTGTTAGATGTGGCTTTTGGAGATTTGTAAGAAGGTGTTCAAGCAACAGCAAGCAGTGACCTAATATGGAGCAGCTCTCCATGAGAACAAGACCTTAGGCATCTCCTGAGAACAAGGCCTTAGGCATCTGTGGTCCAGTGTCTAATGGAATGAAATGGACATTTGCTGTAAGGCTTTCCTAAGAAGGTGAAATATTCTCTCTGACATTTCAAAGTCCCTTGCCGTTTCTTGCTCTCCCCATAGCATGATAAATATAAACTTCCAACTATAATAATAGCATATGTTGAGCATGCCAGGCGTCAGGGATGCCTCATGGATTGCATGCTTACGTAAGTCAGTCGCATCTCACATGCAGTCTGTGCAGTAGGGACTATCGGGCAGTTCTTTATCAAAGGACTAGAGAACATCTTTGATCCCATTTTAGAAGCTGGAAGGAAAAGAACATGGAATTCTAACCCACACAGTCTCTGTTATCAGGAAAGTAGAGACTAATAGAAATATAAACAAGTACATACATTTAAATTTTCTAGTAGCTACATTAAAAACAAAAACAAATAACATCAGCCCAATATTTGATTAAAGTCAAAAGTATCCAAAATGTGTACTAAGTCTTTAAAACTCTAGTGTATATTTTGTTCTCAGAGTTCATCAATTCCAATGATAAATTTTCATCTATATTTAAATTTATATTTATATATACTTAAAATTCACAAAATTTACAGTTGAAAAAGTAGGCTTATATATTCAAGTAATTTTAATCATACTGATTTTCTAGAAACTGAATTTAGTTTATGTTTTTAATTAAAATTAAATGCAATATAAAATTCAGTCCCCTCAGCTGCACACTTAAAATGTTTGAGAACCATGAGTAGCTGCTGTAAGAAGGTGCTCTGGAATTCAAGCTTGTTTTCTATTTGTTTATTAAATTGATTGATTGATAGACTTCTGGTGTACATGTGTATGATATGTGTATATACTTGTGGAGTGTGTGTGTGTATATGTGTGTGTGTATATGTGTGTGTGTGTATGTGTGTGTGTGTGTGTATGTGTATGTGTGTGTGTATGTGTGTGTGTGTGTATGCCAGAGGTCAAGGTTGGGTATTTTCCTTGATTGCTCTTCATCTTATTTTTTAAGGCAGGGTCTCTTCTGAACCTGGAGCTCAATGAGTTGGTTATGCTGGCTGGCCAGAGAACTCCAGAGATCTACCCATCTCTGCCTTCCCAGTTTTGGAATTGCAGTGTGTTATCCATGCCCAGCTTTTTACATGAGTGTTGGGGATCCAAACTCATGTCCTCAGACTTGAATGCCAGGCAGTTTACTGACTAAACCATATCCCCAGCCCCTATAATTCACAATCTGCTTCAGTTGCAGGAGAGAAGAACTGTCATCTCCATGGTCCTGCCTCTACTGCCCAATCCTGGAATAGTCTCTTCCCACCCCATAATATCAGCACTGTTTCTTCATATTCTTTAACATGCAGTTACCTGAGCCTGCACACATCCTAATGTCTGCTTGGAGAAAGGCAAAAAGCTTTGTAGAAGGAAACAAAAACAAACTACAAATAAGAAAAGTCAAGATGAGAGAGCGAGAGAGCTAGATACAAGAAATCCCAGGGGAAAACAGTAGCCAGAACAGATTTTTCTACCAGACCTCTGGGATTAATGCGGTTCCAAACTAGCTTCTGAAATTATTTTTGAAATCCTCTCACATCCTTTTTTTTTTTTTTGGTTGGTATGAGTGATTTGAGAAAAGAGAAGTGATACATAAGAAATTGGAGAGAGAGAAAACCAGTTAAAATGTCTCTCGATGCTTGGATTTGTCCTTTGGGGAGGCTGCTGAAGAAAAAAAAATGAGAATACAGGCAAAACTTGCTGGACAATGTAAAGAAAAGGAGTCAGTTGTGAGCCTTTCTTCTCTTGTATTCTGGTCGGAGCTGAGCACTAATTTAAAAATAGAGACAAAGATTATTTTGGTCATTTTATTCCTGTATGCATGCCATGTCTGGAACTAAAAGTAACGGACAGCTTCTCTCTTCTCCTGCTCTATATCCTACCTTAGTGGGTGGAGGGAGGAGTTGGCTCTCTGCAGACTGACCTGGATCCCAAGAACTGGTCTTTCTGTTGTATACTCTGTGAGATGAAGACTTGGCTGGTGGTTACTATGAACACACACTGATTGACAGAGCAGACCAGGGGGGAAACCAAGGAAACTGTGGAAATCATGAGTCTGTGTAAACTCATCTAACTTCTTAGTACCCAAAGCAAGACCTAGTCCTTGCTCTGTATGCAAATGAGACAGCCCATAGTGGCTGAATCATCTATAGGCCGGGCGAAGCCAAGCGGAGATTAAATCCAATGACAGTAATCACATCCAGGTGCTGTGCCCTTGGGATTAGCAAAGATTTTCACTTTAGTTATCTCACTATCTCAGAGCTCCTGAAGTGGATGTGATTAGCTTGATTTTCTATATGAGGGCATTGAGATTCAGGGGGACCAGGTAGCACACTCGGGCACAGGGTCAGCCAGGCATAGAGCCTTGAGTAAGTACATCTTGTCTTTGATCTCAGCACCTTCTACACAAGTCACACTTCCTTTTCAGAAATCTTGAATTTATTTTATGTGCTATTATTGTGGAGTCAGATCTTTCCTTCCACCTTCACATGGTGCGTACTTAGGTGAGGCATCTCCCCAGGCCCAAGTTTTCTTCTACAGGTTAATGTGCATGGAAAGGAAGGCATGCACCCTGATTCACAGTTAGTTGTAGAGGAAGCCGCCTAAGATTCTAGACTCTCCAGGCCTAAGACAATACAAACTCACATTCAGATGGATATCATGGTCAGGTTTTACTTAATTCAGCCTCTTCCCTTCAT